TAAACCCGAACCCGAAACCCTAAACCCTAAACCCTAAACCCTAAACCCTAACCCCTAAACCCTAAACCCTAAACCCTAAACCCTAAAGGCCTCCCAACGTCTCTCCTTCTGAGGCCATGGGCCGTGGCGCCGTGCTCCAGGAGCAGGGAGACCAACTCCTTCCAGCTGGTTTGGGGTTTGGGGTTTGGGGTTTAGGGTTTAGGGTTTAGGGTTTAGGGTTTAGGGTTTAGGGTTTAGGGTTTGGGGTTTGGGGTTTGGGGTTTAGGGTTTGGGTTTTTTAGGGTTTAGGGTTTAGGGTTTAGGGTTTAGGGTTTGGGGTTTAGGGTTTAGGGTAATTAAGGGTTTAGGGTTTCGGGTTTAGGGTCGTTCAGGGGTTAGGCGGGTTTAGGGTGGTCTAGGGTTTAATAGGATTTACAGGGTTTACATAGGGTCTATGGGGTTTATAGGGTTTAGGGCCTAGGGTTGAGGAGTTGAGGGCTTCGGGTTTAACCATAACTCCTCCCTGAAATTAGGGTTCGGCCCCTGAAGCCCTTGAACTCAGAGGAGGGCTGAGCTGACGGCGACGAGGGGGTTTAGGGTTTAGGGTTTAGGGTTTAGGGTTTAGGGTTTAGGGTTTAGGGTTTCGGGTTTAGGGCTTGGAACTTCAAGATCCCAAAGCTGGGCAATTGCTCTGAAAGCCCTTGCAGGGGGTTCTCGCGGAAATTATCCTCCCTCCCACCCCCCGCCCCCAAAGAAAACAACAACACCCTAAACCCTAAACCCTAAACCCTAAACCCTAAACCCTAAACCCTAAACCCTAAGGGTTCGGGGTTGGGGCTTGAGCCTGACCCTGCAAACAAAAAGAGCGGAGCCTAAGACCAAACCCTAACCACGGAAACCGTCGACCCCTGCGCCCCCAGCCCTAAACCCTAAACCCTAAACCCTTAAACCTTAAGCCCGGAACGTTCAATTGGGGGTTTCCGAAATTGGGGGGGGCGGGGGGGTACCTTATTGGGGGTCCCTATTAGAAGGGAATCCTACTACATGGGGTCTATACACAGCGAACCTGTAGGCATCCCAGACGGGCGCCAGTTGCACTCCAGGAATTACAGTAGGGTTCAGGGTTTCGGGTTTCCGACAACTAAGGTTTCAAAACCCTAAGCCCTAAACCCTAAACCCCTAAAACCCCTTAAACGTGGATACCAAATGCGAGGGTGCCCAGAAACGCTGGCCGCTGTTAGCCGGAAACCCTGTGCAGCTGACCAATCTTGTGTCATATATCGACTCGGGAGCCTAAACTTAGGCCCCACAGTCCACAGCTCACCAGTCGCTGCCTATTCGGCGTAGATGCAAGTGCTCACTCGGGCCAATACACGATGAGCAGCGTGGGAACCGCGTAATCGCTGCGGATGGCGAAGCGGCGATCTACACCGCGCACAATGCAGGGTTTAGGGTTTAGGGTTTAGGGTATGGGGTTTAGGGTTAGGCTTTGGGGCTTGGGATTTGGGGTTTGGGGGTTTAGGGTTTGGGGTTTGGGGTTTGGGGGATTAGGGTTTAGGGTTTAGGGTTTGGGGTTTGGGGTTTGGGGTTTGGGGTTTGGGGTTTGGGGGCTTGGGGTTTGGGGGCTTGGGGTTTTAGGGCTCTAGGGTTAGAATTGTTTTTTGGTACGTAGGGGTGTGCCGCCATTTTCGGGAATGCCCATCCAAGCCCTGGTCCCTTTTGTTATGTGTAGCTCTGTACAAATTCTGGAGAACTCATGAGAGCCGAAGGGTACCCTGGGTGCACAGTTAATAAACCCTAAGCCGCAGGCTTACTTGGAGGTTCATGGGACTTAAGAACCACTTATAACTGGGCTTACAACCCTACTTATAGGGATAACCCCTAGGGGGTATTATAAGTGGGGTTATAAGTACAGCTATAATTGGCTAGTAAGTACCATGAACCTTCAAGTAGGGTTCAGGGACCCCAAGCCCTAAACCAAAACCGCAAGGATTCAGGAGGTTTGGGACTCAGGAGCCGCGGGCCTCAAACCCAAAACCCCAGAGTTTTGGGGCTCAGGGACCCCCGAGCCTTAAACCCAAAAACCACAATGGTTTTGGGGTCTAAGGATCCAGCAATAATCCTAAACCCTAAACCCTAATTATAAACCCTAAACCCTAAACCCTAGACCCTAAACCCTAAACCCTGAACCCGAAACCTCCGCTTACCAGGGCCTGGTGGCCAGCAGCTGCAGCGCTGCTTAGTAAGGGGATCGCGGCCTGCCGGGCGCCGGTGGCAAAGGTCTTCTGATTCTAAGGGCTACCCAAAAACCCCAAAACCCTTCCTGCAAAGGGTTAGGGTTTAGAACCCTAAACCCTAAACCCTAAACCCTGAACCCTAAACCCTAAACCCTAAACCCTAAACCCTGAACCCTAGACCCCAAACCATAAACCCTTAAACCCCAAACACTCAAGATCTCAGGAGATCTCGGCGACGAGGAGTTTGACCGTGCAGAGCTCTGATAGGATAGGACTTAGTGGGCTTGGGGTTTTAGGGTTTTAGGGTTTTTTACCTTAGGGTTTTTAGGGTTTTAAGGGTTTTAAGGGTTTTAGGGTTTTTTAGGGTTTTACGTTTTTCTTAGGGTTTTAGGTTTTTTTAGGGCTTTAGTTTTTTTTGAGGGTCTTAGGGTTTTAGGGTTTTTAGGGTTCTTAGGGTTTTAGGGTTTTAGGGGTTTAGGGGTTTAGGGTTTTAGGGTTTTAGGGTTTTAGGGTTTTAGGGTTTTAGGGTTTTAGGGTTTTAGGGTTTTAGGGTTTTAGGGTTTTAGGGTTTTAGGGTTTTATGGTTTTAGGGTTTTAGGGTTTTAGGGTTTTAGGGTTTTAGGGTTTTAGGGTTTTAGGGTTTTAGGGTTTTAGGGTTTTAGGGTTTTAGGGTTTTAGGGTTTTAGGGTTTTAGGGTTTTAGGGTTTTAGGGTTTTAGTGTTTTAGGGTTTTAGGGTTTTAGGGTTTTAGTGTTTTAGGGTTTTAGGGTTTTAGGGTTTTAGGGTTTTAGGGTTTTAGGGTTTTAGGGTTTTAGGGTTTTAGGGTTTTAGGGTTTTAGGGTTTTAGGGTTTTAGGGTTTTAGGGATGGGTGCAACCGTACGACAAGGGAGCCCATATTAAGGGACCATGTAACTACCCTAAGACCGCTAAGCCCAGAAAAAGCAGAAACCTTTGAACATTAAAACGCTTGAAACCCTAGCCCGGACTTTCTGAGACGAAAAATGTGGGTTGCCTGAGCCCTAGGCCTTCAACCCGAACCACAAGCCTAGACCCTAAACCCTGAACTCCACGGCCTAAACCCTCCCTGCACCCCAGGCCCTAAACCCGAACCCCCACGCCCTAAACCCTAAACCCTAAACCCTAAGACCCAAGCCCTAAACCCTAAACCCCAAGCCCTAAACCCTAAACCCCTAAACCCCAAACCCTAAACTCAAAACTCGCCTCGGCAGTCGGCTCGCAGGTCACCGGGCAAGCCTTGACGTTGGGGTTGGCACCTCCGTGGCTTCTGGCTTTTTGGAGGGTTTAGGGTTTAGGGTTTAGGGCTAGGGTTTAGGGTTTAGGGTTTATGGTTTGGGATTTAGGGTTTAAGGTTTGGGGTTTGGGTTTAGGGTTTAGGGTTTAGGGTTTGCTGTTTGGGGTTCAGGGTTTAGGGTTTAGGGCTTAGGGTCTGGGGTTTTGGGTCAGGGTTTAGGGCTTGGTGAGAGGTTTACGGCTCTATTAGTTAGTGCTTAGTGCGGTTTGAGAGTTGAAGGTTAAGGGGTTTTCGGGTTCAGGGTGTAGAGGTTTAGGTTTCAGGGTAGGGCTGTTTGGGTGAAGGGCTTGCAGGTTCAGGGTTGAGGGGTTTCCACATTTTGGGGTTCCGTGGTGAGAGTTCAGAGCTTGCAACTTCAAGGCTCAGTGTCTGCATGTAGTATTCAGGGTTTATAGGGTGTTTAGGGTTTAGGGTTTAGGGCTTAGGGTTTAGGTGTAGAATGTAGAAGTCAGGGTATAGGCTTTCCCATGCCTGCCCTTGACAAAATGGGAAGCGGGGCACTTAACAATCCAAACCGAAACCCTGAACTAGGATGGCCCTTAAAACCCTCTGAAAAACAAACATTCCTAGACATGATCCTCTTGAACCCAATAATGGAAAAGTGTCTAAACCCTAAACCCTAAACCCTAAACCCTAAACCCTAAACCCTAAACCCTAAACCCCAAACCCTAAACCCTAAACCCTAAACCCTAACTTGCCCAGCAGGCTCAGGACCCGACCGTACGTCAGAAGCCGCCGTAGCTGGGTCACCTTTTCAGAGGCTCAGGGCCCTTTAGGCCGCGGTTTAGGGTTTAGGGTTTAGGGTTTAGGGTTTAGGGTTTAGGGTTTAGGGTTTAGGGTTTAGGCTTTAGGGTTTAGGGTTTAGGGTTTAGGGTTTAGTTAAGGAACCGACCGTAAGTCACCATAAGGATCCCTACGTATGGATTCATCTCCCTAAACCCTAAACCCTGAACACTACGTGACGATCTAGTCTATCCCTAAATTCAAGGGGAGGATTGAGGGTTCGTACTCAGGATTGACATGTGACCCGTGGGCTTAGGTTTAGGGTTTAGGGGTTAGGTTTTAGAGTTTAGGGTTTACGGTTTAGGGTTTACCTTGGAGTCCCTAGGGTTTGGGGCTTACGGTTTGTATACTTACACTAGTGCAAGACTAGAGAACATCCCCCGATAGAAGCCCCTAGAAGGGAAAATGAATTCCCTCATTCCCGACTAAGAGCCAGTATTCGTTTCGGGGACCGTAAAACCCTAAATCTTGCAGACTAAACGGCGCCCTTAACTCAGAACCACCTCAGGTTTAGCGCAACTTACGCCTGACAGCGTGACTTGGCAATGACTGGAGTTGATTTGGGGGGCAGTGAGAGAAATTAAGGTCCTATGGGTTATATCCGATTTCACAGGGACTAGTGCCCCATGGAATTTAGAAAGACCCATTTAAAAGAGTTCCAAATCAAGCCTGGGCCGTTTAATGCTGTCCTAGTTCTTGTCGCCTCTTATGCTTTCTCGGCGTCACTGATTTAGATCGTGCTTCTCAGGTGCTTGAAGCTTTGGGAATGAGCAGGGGTTCATGGGCGAACGGGCTTTACGTTGAGGAGCGACCCTGAGCCGTTACTGACTGGGCGTAAGTTGAGTTCGCGTTCAACCCTAAACCCTAACCCTAAACCCTACACCCTAAACCCTAACCCTAAACCCTTATCCGAAACCCTAATTCTCAAGTACTCTCGGGTTGCTGCATGTCTCTGATGCTCTGATTCCTTGAGCAATGCTCTGATTCCTTGAGCAGAGCGAACCGTGGATGATGTCCTCTTGCTTGCTCAACAGGGTCTTGCTAGCCCAGTAGCGATATGTTCATGAGGACAATCTGAAAGCCAATCATTCGCGACCTCAGCCTCTGACCAAATCCCGAAATGTCACTGGCCTAAGAATTTTGAGGGCGCCGTTTCTTGTTCCATGAGGTGTTGAAAGGCAAGCGAACCCTGACAAACTGAGCAAAGGCGCACGGGGCTACAAACCCTGAACGCCCAAAACCCTAGACGCCCAACCTTCGGGTTCAGGGTTTAGGGTTTGGGGTTTAGGGTTTAGGGTTTAGGGATCATCGCCCCCCCCCCCCCCCCCCCCCAGCTCGCCTGGCCCGGCGAACCATCGAAGCTGGCGCCAAGCTTCGCCAAGGTCCGGGCATCCACCTCCCATGCTGGGAGGTTCATGGTTAACCAACTATACTTAGGGTTTAGGGTTTAGGGTTTAGGGTTTAGGGTTTAGGGTTTAGGGTTTAGGGTTGAGGGTTGAGGGTTTAGGGTTTAGGGTTTTAACTGTGCTGAGCATCAACCTCCCATGGGAGGGTTTGATGCTCACCTTCTTCTAGGTCATGGTTGGGATAATATTCAGAGAATGCAACATGTTACCCAACTATGACAAATACTGAGGGCAGTTTATAGTGCGTCTTGGGGTAGTTACATAGTCCCTTAGCCTATACTCCCCTTAGAACCTTAATAAAAATAATATTTTTAATATCCTCTTGGGTTTTATATAAATAAAAATAAAAAATAATTCCCAAGGGTAGTAGCACGGGCCCTTAGAAGGGGCCCCTTTTCTAGCCTATACAAACTAAGGGGCCCATACCTTCAGAACTCCTTAAGGGAGGTAAAGGACCATGTTCAGGGCACAAGGAACTACCCAAGAGGTACCCCCCTAAACCCCAAACCCCAAACCCTAAACCCTAAACCCTCAACCCTCAACCCTAAACCCTAAACCCTAAACCCTGAACCCTGAACCCTGAACCCTGAACGCTACACCGAATTCAAATTGCGCCCTTCTGGGTCTAAAGGGGGTTGTAGGGAACCCCCAAAGAAGGGGAACAAGGGCCTACTCCGGGTCCTACTCACAGCTTACTTGGCGGTTCATTTGGGTAGTTCTAAGTAGGGTGTAGGGTTTGGGCTTTAGGGTTTCGGGTTTAGGGTTGAAGATCTTATAACCCTATTTAGGGCACTTAGAACCCTACTTATGAACACCCATGAACATCCAAGCAAGCCCAATACCCTTAAATTAAGGAATAGACCTTTAGATCCCCAGATGGTTTACAGGTATATACCTTAATGAAAGGGTGTTGGGCTCTCTGAGAGGAATACTTGGAGCATTTGGGCAGCTATCAGTAGGATACTCAAGGGAATTCTATGACCCTACTTACAACTACCCATGAAACCTCTCATATCACTTGACTAGGAGTCCAAAGACACGATTCAAGGAAGCTTCCCTGATTAAGGGGTGTTGGATATTGGAGGCCCAAGGGCTGGAGTTCCTGGGACACAGGTTTAGGCTTTAGGGTTTAGGATTTAGGGTTTCGGGCTTCGGGCTTCGGGGCGCGGGTCCCCAAGCCCGCAAACCCCGAATTCTAGCTCGCAAACTTTCAGAACCCAACATGCGCCTGCGACTGGGACCGCGACACTTCCAGAATGCGCAGGACCTTCTCCTGAACATGGGCCGGCAGGATGCAGTTTAGGGTTTAGGGTTTAGGGTTTAGGGTTTAGGGTTTAGGGTTTAGGGTTTAGGGCCTAGGGCTTAGGGGCAATGTAGGGGCCTCTTGCTAAGGGTTTAGGGACTGAGGGCTCATTTTGTGATCATGATGATGATTCTTGTTTTTGTGCGAGATAAAACAAATGAAACAAACAAGTTCATGTATCGTTGTGTTCTATATGATAAACATTTAGTATTGCATATGATGAACTGTATACGATGCGCGTTTGCGACAATGGCATGTACAAACCCTAAACCCTAAACCCTAAACCCTAAACCCTAAACCCTAAACCCTAAACCCTAAACTCTAAACCCTAAACCCTAACAGACTGCCGGAGGCACTCTCTTGAGAGTATAAAGAATGCGCGGCAGCGAGGATTCCATGGAACATGGTTGTTTTTGAGTAGTCTGTGCACCCTCCCAAAACCCTAAAGGTAAGCATTTCGGCATCTGCGTCAGTTCGTCTCTTCGAAAGTGTGGCAGAAATGGAGGATTAAGGAAATGGGACTTCTAAAATAGCCTCCCAAAATAGTAGGATTCGCTTATAATCAGGGCCCCAATAAGGTACCCCGAATTTCGGAAACCACCAAATTAGTATAGGATGTGTTGATACTCTTTGAGAATGGTTTGTAATTGTTTCTGGTTCCCCTTGCCAGGTGTGCCACGGCTCCCACACCTTGCCAACTTGCTCGACAGTTCAGAGGCCGTAAATGACAGCCAAACACAGCTGGAGTCAAATGCTGCATTCCACGAAGGGCTTCGAGGACTCCAAACCCTGTATATAAATGTCGCTGTGTACTAATTCGCCTCGGCTTCCTGCCGAGAAGTGTTTGGAGCAAGCAGACCCAGATCGGGCCTCCTTCCCTTCCCCCCATGCAAAATTTTGTGGCGGACCCCCCCGCCCCCGCCCTGTGGGACCCGGAGGAGCTGCAAACCGATGCCGTGGAGTACACAGAGAGCGCCTCAAACCCCCCCCCCCCCCAACCCACCCCCCCCCCCCCCCCCCCACCTACTCCCTCCCTGCGACCCCCGACCTGGACCCTTCCTCTCCTTTTTTTGCAGAAACCCTCTTTCCTCCTTTCCTGTCCTGGGGCCGGCCCTGCTGCCGAGGCGGCGCGCGCAAGCGTTTACAATCAGGCCTTTGCCACCCCTCTCCCCTAAAACCCAAAAGCCCCCTCTCCCCTTTCAGGGGTACCCGTAAAACAAATAATATATATATATATATATACATATATATATATATATGCATACATACACCTTATATATATATGCATACATACACCTTATATAGTCTCTATGTACCTAAGTAGAACCCCCAAAGAGCCCTGAAGGAACCCTAAGGTCCCTTACAAGGTCCCTCCCTAAACCCGAAACCCGAAACCCGAAACCCTAAACCCTAAACCCTAAACCCTAAACCCTAAACCCTAAGGTCCCTTATAAGGGTCTCTCCAAGAGTCCCTTAACATCCAGGCATTTCATGCTGACGCACGAACTCTCGACCTTTGAAACCAAGACCTGCCTTCGGCCCCATTCTTTCGGGTTTAGGGTTTAGGGTTTAGGGTTTAGGGTTTAGGGTTTAGGGTTTAGGGTTTAGGGTTTAGGGTTTAGGGTCTAAACCCTGGAACCCTAAAGCCCTAAAGTTGTAGAACTTTAACCCCTGGAACCCTAAAAACCCTCAAACCCGATAAAGCCCTAGACCCTAATTCCCTAGATGTGGCTTGGCTTTGGCTCGGCTTCGGTGACGTGCTGCCATTTTTTGCATTTGGTTTCTGTAGGTGTCTTTAATTGTCAACATGCAGCCCTTTCGACTCTTACCTGTTTCGCTGCGATGCTTCTCAGGGAGTTGGGGCTTTAGGGTTAAGACCCTACACCAACCCGAAACCCTAAACCCTAAACCCTAAACCCTAAACCCAAAAAACGCTTCTGCAAGGTGGAAGAAACCCTGCGCACGTGACCTGGAACCAGCGCGCTTCCAGCCAGTCGTCGGAAAGCATATCAAGGAGCAGAGCATCCACGCGGTCGTCGAAGGGGTCCGCGCCTTTTAGGGTTTAGGGTTTAGGGTTTAGGGTGAAGGGTTTAGGGCGCCTGGAAGCTACACAGCAAGAAGCTCGGTTCTAGGTTGGTTCCTGGAATCCTCTGGAAATGTACAGATTTAGGATCTCTTAAACCCAAAAAGAGAAAATACTAATTATCTCAAGGGCTAGTACCAGGACAAGCTTCGGGTTTAGCAAGGTACAAAAGGCGTGTAGGACTGAACTTCACCCCTAACCAACGGGGTGCCAACTCCAACTTTTTTGGCACAAAAGGCGTGAAGGACAGAACCTCACCCGTAACAAACGGGGTGCAAACTCGAACTCCTAAGGTTTTGAAATCCTAGACCCCTACAAACCCGCTAAACCAACTGAAACCTAAAACCCCAAAACCCTATACAACCTAAACCCCAAACCCCCTGCAAAACCCCTGGCACCTCAATACCCCGAATACCCCTACTACCCCTAGACCCTAAACTGTAATACCCCTAAACCCTAAACCCTAAATCCCAATACTCCAATGACCTAAAGCCCTCATACCCTTCTTTGCAAGAGGGCTGCCAACCCTAAAACCCGAAACCCTAAACCCCAAACCCCAATATTTACCCATACCCCTAAACCCTAAACCCTAAACCCTAAACCCTAAACCCTAGGCCCCAAAACCCTGAAGCCTTCATACCCTTCCTTGCAGCCCAGAGTGCTGTACCCCTATAACTAAACCCTAAATCCTAAACCCTAAACCCTAAACCCTAAACCGTAAACCCTAAACCCTAAACCCCCTGTAGGACCCTCTTCCTTGCAGCCCAGAGGGCCGCTGGCGAGGAGCTGCGCGATGCACGGAAAGTGGTGGCCGGCCACAGCCAGGGACAGCGGGCTGCAATCGCCTGAACGCTGGGTTTAGGGTTTAGGGTTTGGGGTTTAGGGTTTAGGGCTTGGGGTTTAGGGTTTAGGGTTTAGGGCTTGCAGGGTAAACCCTAAACCCTCAACCCTAAACCCTAAACCCTGGACCCTGAACCCTAAACCCTAAACCCTAAACCCACCTCGGGGAGCCAGCGATGTCGGCAGCCTCGGCTGGCTCACCGGCGCGCCGGCATCCACCAAAAGCCTGGCATTTCCAAGGCGACCAGAGAACCGTCATTGAATTAGGGTTTAGGGTTTAGGGTTTGGGGTTTAGGGTTTAGGGTTTAGGGTTTACGGTTAAGGGCTTAGGGTTGATTCCTAGTATTCTCACGTGTTTTTGCACGAAGAACACTGTGGGTGCCATTGCTGTCGTTGTTACAGGTTGCTGTTGCTTGCAACCAAAGTGGCTTGAGGACTTCGACCAGCCCACAGTGGGCTGCCAGCCCTGAGGCAGTGCAGGTCCTGCCAGGGCTTCGGCTTGACGGGCGTTTTTCTAGGGTTTTAGGGTTGAGAGGCATAGGTTGGGATGTTCCCCCCTATACTAACAGTCCGGTACTATCATCCCTTTTACGGACTGTTAGTATAAGGATAAGTGGGAATGAGGGGCTCAGGTTACATCTTACATGGTCGCCATAAGTAGGGCAACAAAGTATGGTAACTATACTTATATCCCTGTTCAGGGTACTTATTACTTATCGCTCTACGTATAGCTACCCAAATTATCCTCCAAGTAGAGCAAAACGTGAAGGGCCCCTGATGTAGATCAAGCAAGCCATCCGGGGGTACGTGAGGCTTCACAGGGGAACCTCACCCTTCCTGGTTTAAGGTTTAAAGTTCACGGTTTCCCTAGCCCTAAACCCTAAACCCTAAACCTTAAACCCTAAACCCCATAAACCTTAAGCCCCAAACAGGCGGTCCATGAGTTGCTCGCGTCGTGCATCGGGGTGGCCAGCACTTGCGTCAGCTTCTGGTGACCCAGTCCTTCAAGATTTGGGGTTTGAAGGTTTAGGGTTTAGGGTTTAGGGTTTAGGGTTTAGGGTTTAGGGTTTAGGGTTACCCTAAACCCTAGAAACCGCGCGAACCCTATAATCCCTGTGACCACTATAAACCTTGCAAACCCTATGCCCCCCAGACCCCAAACCCTATTCACCCTAGGCCCTATAGACCCTACCATCACCCGGCAAACCCCAGACCCTCAACCCTTTGAGAGGTTTTGCGGTTGGCTAAACCCTAGACCCCTAACCCCTGAGCCTAAAGCGGGTTCGAAAACGGGCTGGGCTTCGACTTGCTTCGGGTTTAGAGTCTGGGCCTTTTTTGGGGCCGTGGCAGCTATCCAAGAACGCTCGCCCAAGATTGAAGCCGAAGCCCTAAACCCTAAACCCTAAACCCTAAACCCGAAACCCGAAGCCCCAAGCCCCAAGCCCCAAGCCCCAAGCCCTAAGCCCTAAGCCCTAAGCCCTAAACCCTGCCTAAACCCTAGGACCAAGCTTGACAACCGAACCTGCCCGGACCTGCCCACCCCCCCCCCCCCCCCCCCGCTCACCACGTCGTTTAGGGTTCTAGCGTTTAGGGTTGAGGGTTACACAAAAAAGCGGGTTTGGGGTTGAGGATTTTGGGTTTAGGGTATAGGCTTTAATTCGTAGGGAAAATGGCGTTTCCGGATTATGTTGGGAAACAGGGCTTCAAGGGGAGAACTGGTTTCAAGGGCCTCAAGGGAAGAGCTGGGTTCAAGGAGAGCTACGTTGGGAACATGGCTTTAAGGATTTGCTGTCGAGAACAGGAGCGCATGATGCGAACTGGTGCGCCTCAATCGAGGCATCTCAAAGCAAGGGTCTATATTAGCAAATGTATCTCACAGCAAAAGTCTCTGCAAATTCAGGCATCGCAAGGCAAACGCAGGTGTAAACCGACACGCCGAAAAGCATCCTATGTGTCATGCTTAAAACAGCTATGTAAATCGATGCATGACGAACCAAACGTCTAATCGAAACTACGCATGTCCACCACAAGGGCGCAGGAAAGGTGAGATGTCACTTTCGCTTCTCATGTCCTCAGGCGGCACCCTGGATAGTCCCAAGTTTTCAGAGACTCCCTTAAGGAATATTCCTTAAACCAGAACCGGAACCCTCTTATATCAAAAAGGTAAGGAGGTAAGGAATCTTCATTAACTCATTAAAGGGGTATTGGGGTCCATGGCTTAAACCTGGCTTTCACAACCTCAAAATAGCCAGTTGTAATTCCACCCCCCCCCCCCCCCCCCCCGTGTCTTGGCCAAACCCTAAACCTCTAAACCCTGAGCCCTAATCCTAAACCCTAAACCCCAAACCTCAAACCCTTAACCCTGAACCCTAAGCCCTAAACCCACCCCCGTCTGAAAGGGCTCCAAGAGTCGTCTGGCAGCCGCCTCTAAAATCTCGTGGGCCTCCTCTTCGGCCTCCAACGGAGAACCTGAGGGTTTAGGGTTTAGGGTTTAGGGTTTGGGGTTTGGGGTTTGGGGTTTGGGGTTTGGGGTTTGGGGTTTAGGGTTTAGGGTTTAGGGTTTAGGTCAAAAACTGGTTGCAGGCTTGGGATGTATGGTTTTAAAGATTAGGGTTTAGGGTTTGAGGGACACTGGCGGCCCAGACACACATGCCCTCCACGGCAGCACGCATCACGCTCCTGGGCTGCGTTGTGTCCCTAAACCCTAAACCCTAAACCCTAAATCCTAAACCCTAAACCCTAAACCCCAAACCCAAAACCCCAAACCCCAAACCCTAAACCCTAAACCCAGGCCAAGGCGCGCGAGCTCCTCCAGCACCCAGCGCCCCGCATCCACGGTGGCCTGCGCGGCCTGCCATCATCCGCTGCAGGGTTTAGAGTTTAGGGTTTAGGGCTTAAGGTTTAGGGCTTAGGAGGGCGTCTGCAAGGGTTTAGAAGGGCGTCTCACGGTTTATTCTGGTTTAGCAGGGTTTATTAGGGTTCGGCTTATGAGGGTTTAGGGTTTATAAGAGTTCAGGTTGTAAGTTTTAGAGGGTTTCGGGTACAGAGGGTGTATAGGGAAATTGTTGCTTTTAGGGTCAATGGCGAGATGTTGAGCTCCTCCCGATCGATTGCAGTCCGTTTTTGCAGGAAAACTGAGCTCGGGTGACCTGTTTGTACCTATTCTTGGGAGGTTCATGGGTACTGATGTGTGGGGCTACAAGTTTAAGTAGAGTTTCCGGAATTATAACCTATTGTTTACTACACAGGCACTTCCAAGTAAGCCCCAAGCCCTAAAAGTTCAGGTTCAGTTAGGACTTTTTTTTGGAGGATGAAGAAGTGCCGCTGTAACTGAGCTAGAACCAGGGTAACTGTAGCTGTAAGAAGCTATGGGTACGTACAGCTAAACATATCACTACCACAAACCCCCTAAACCCTAAACCCTAAACCCGAAACCCTAAACCCTAAACCCTAAACCCTAAACCTTTCAACAGGTTTCACGGTTGATCTCGCGCAGGCCTCATGCACGCCGGCAGCCGTGAGCCGGAGCAAGCAAACGGCACCGGAGCATTCCTTCGGGCTGCGTTTAGGTTTTAAGTTTAGGGTTTAGGGTTTAGGGTTTAGGGTTTAAGTTTAGGGTTTAGGGTTTAAGTTTAGGGTTTAGGGTTTAGGGTTTAGGATTTAGGGTTTAGGGTTGCACCGGAACATTCCTTCGGGCTGCTTTCGGCTTGTGCACACCCTAAAGCCTTAAACCATAAAACCCTAAAACCCCCTAAAAGCCCCAAAACCCCAAAACCCTAAACCCCAAAAACCCTAAAAACCCTGAAACCCTACAACCCGAAAACCCCAAAACCCCAAAACCCTAAAACTAAAACCCTGAAACCCTACCACCCTAAACCCGAAAACCCCAAAGCCCTAAACCCTAAATCCACAGACCCCAAACCCTCAACCCCAAACCCTATACCCTGCCCTAAACCCTAAACCCTAAACCCTAAACCCGAAACCCTAAACCCTAAACCCTAAACCCTAACGACCTGAAGCCTAAGCCGCCAAGACCCTAAGGTCCCACACCCTAGCACCCGGAGCTGCCCCTGGGGATTCGTCAGGGTAAGCCAGGGTTTAGGGTTTAGGGTTTAGGGTTGAGGGTTGAGGGTTCCGAAACCCAGGCCCCTTCCAACCCCCGAATCAAGGGTTTCTGCAACTAGGGGTACCTTATTGGGGTCCTTATAAGAGGATCCTGTTATTTGGGGTCGCCTATTTTCGTAAACCCCCAAATAAGTTTAGGGTTGAGGGTGGCTTAGCAGTTATAGGGTGCAGGGTCTTAGGCGTTTTGGGGGTGTACGACTGCGCCCCCAAAAAGCATACCTCACTTCATGGTTAAGATATCTGACGCCTCCAAGAATGGGAGCTACAGTCGGGGCCTAGTAAAGCCCTACAACCCTCCGCGCCATGCAACGAGCAGAGGCTCGGCCTGAGCTGAACCCTATAAAACCCACAGACAAACCTTAACAACCCTCGAAAGCCAAAAGCGAAAATGAGAAAGAACCTTCAGGCGAACTTCTGATTAAACTCCGCCCCTGAACCCTAAACCCTAAACCCTGAACCCTAAACCCTAAACCCTACGCCGCAACATCCGCAACTCTGTGCGTCCGAGCGGCAATCATCACCTGCACCTCGGCCATGTCGGTATCACTGCGCGAGGCCTTCCAGATTCTCAGGATTTTTTGGGGTTTAGGGTTTAGGGTTTAGGGTTTAGGGTTTAGGGTTTAGGGTTTAGGGTTTAGGGTTTAGGGTTTAGGGTTTAGGGTTTAGGGCAACCCTGCCAGGCCCTATCTGGACCTATCGACCCCAAATTGTAGCTCGCTTTTAGCCGGGTAGCTACTTCTCATGGCTTACAATCCAAATATGAATATTTCTTTCCTAGATCCCCATCCTTACCATGGGAGCCAGGATACCAAAATAGGGCATGGTTTCTCGGAACAACCCCATACTGGTTTCGGAACAACGCCCATACAAGAGGAGCCTGACTGATTAGAAGAGGGTTTGGGGGATGTCATAGTATACCCATATAGGGACCCATAAGGCAGTATTACCAGTCATTCTTACGACCCCGATATTGCATTGCACAATGAGAAAAGGTGCACGACAAGAGCGGCGAGGGCTCGTCTCCTGCCGAAGTTACGAAGGCACATTGCAGACTCTTGGTACCCCAGCAAACATCTTACAACAAGGGTACCCGGGTAGCCTGCTTTGAAGTTGGCTACTTTATAAGCCTGTTTTGAAGTTGGATACTTTATAAGCCTGTTTTGAAGTTGGCTACTTTATAAGGGAACCTTGAACCAAAAAAAACGGGTAAAGGGTACCACTGGGCTACCAAGGACAGGCGCTGAAACAAGGAAGGCTCGACATGGCCCCACTGTGAGGAGCCTTAAACCCTAGACCCTAAACCCCAGACCTTCAACCCTCAACACTCACCCAAAACACCCTACTAAACTGTCTGCCCTAACTAAAACTGTGTGCCCTAGACGCACCCTAAACTCCCAACACCCTAACCCGCTAAACGTTAAGCGCAAACCGCACCGCAGACACGAAGCCGGGACTCCCACGCGGAGCCCCCAAGCTCCTAAATCTGAACTTCTGAACCCTGGAAACCCTAAACGCCTTTCAACAACCCCCAGGACCCTCAGTGTCCTAAACATCCGTAACGAAACGAGTCGCTTTATATACATATACATATTGCTGCTAATTCTGTTGTTACCCTAACTACTGTTGCTACAGCTACTATATTACAGAAACAACAGCAACAGCAACAAAAATGAGGGTGACAAAAAAACAAAAGACATTTGGAGCGACAGAGCTCAAATCCAGTCGAACCCTAAACCCTAAACCCTAAACCCCTAAACCCTAAACCCTAAACCCCTAAACCCTGGCCTGGGATTCTCGCAGCTGCCGCGATACCAGATTTTGGTCGAGGGAGGCCTCCCTGGAACCTCACACTTGGAGTTTAAGGTTTAGGGTTTAGGGTTTAGGGTTTGGGGTTTAGGGTTCATTTGGGTAGATATATAAGTAGGGTTCTAAGTGCCCTAAGTAGGGCTATGTTGTTACAAAGTGGGGCTGGCTATCAGCATGAGTGCCATCTTGATAACCCTACTTACGGCTGCCCCCATGAACCTCCAAGTAGGGCTTTGCGGTGTTCGGCCCTAAACCCTAAACCCTAAACCCTAAACCCTAAACCCTAAACCCTAAACCCTAAACCCTAAACCCTAAACCCTTTAGGGTTTTGGGGGTTTAGGCGTTGACAGTATTTTGCTTGGGGGGAAAGGCTTAGGACTTGAGGTCTCTGGAAGAGTTTTGAAGGTTTTGTTCAGGTGTCGTTTTTGAGAGGCTCAGGATTCTAGGGTTTAGGGTTTAGGGTTTAGGGTTTAGGGTTTAGGGTACATACGTGCTGTTCGAGTTGTGTGTGACTGTTTTAGCTGTTTTTGTTTGGGGATGAAGCGTTTGGCTGTTGGTTTTTGTCAAGGGCGTCTTAACGGGTCAGCTGGGTTGAGGGCTTAGGGCTTCGCAGGTTTTGGTGAAAGGCTGATTGAGTTCGTTTGTGGTTGGTTTTTAAAGCCTTTAGGGTTGTTGAAAGGGTGCTCAGGGTTTGCGACTTTTGCTCAGGCTGAAAGGGGGTTCAGGTTTTGAGGGGTTCTGGGTTTTAGACTTGCTCCTTTGGACTACCCCAAACCCCAAACCCCAAACCCCAAACCCCAAACCCTAAACCCTAAACCCTAAACCCTAAACCCTAATGTTTTGTTTTGGGGCCTAGGGTTTTAGGGAGTTGTTTGGGCGGTTCCCTGGAAGGTTTTGGGGCTGATCCTGGAGGGCCTAGGGTTTAGGGTTTTCGGGTTTACTACTGTTTGCTTAAGAATCCCCCCAAAGAAATAAACATATTCCTCCCTATAAGGGTCATCTAGGGTTGATGTGTTTCATATTTTTGGGGGGTTCTTAAGCAAATAGTGGTTTAGGGGTGTTAGCTTGCTTTAGTGCTTTGGTCTTGAGGGTTTTCTGACTGGTTTGGGGGATATAAGCGGGTTCCCTGGTTACGGAAAACTCTCCTGCGCATCCTACATCCTAATCCCTAAACCCTACTTGGAGGTTCATTGGTAACTATAAGTAGAGTTATAGGCATGGCAACTATATTAGTAACCCTACTTGGGCTACTTGTAACCCTACTTCCCCTTTTATATATTTACCCATGAACCTCCAAGTGCACTCTCTGACCCCAATCAAAACTCCCTGGTTCTTAGTAGGGAATGAGGGAATGAGGTACCCCATATAATCCCTTAAAGGTGTATATATATATATATATATATGGGGTACCTCATTCCCTCATTCCCTACTAAGAACCAAGGAGAAAAGCAACGGTTTCCGGGAGGCCTTCAGCTGCCAGGGTGTCCAACGCCTTCTGAGCAGCGGCCGAGATTGAGGCGGCAGCGACTGCCACAGCAGAGGCACGGTCCTGCACGAAGTGACTGGGATTCATGGCTTGAGCACCCTCCACTCAATACTGTCCATGCTCAGAGTTTAGCAAGCACACAACATCACCCCCCTGACTGCCAAAGCTCCATCTATCATAGAGCGCCCTAAATCCGAGCACCATCCCCCAACCCTGCCCCCCGCCCCAAACCCTTCAACCGGGACCCCCCAAAACAGTGGTTTGACCGAGATCCTACTACTTCTGCCTCAATCGGCAGCGATGGCGCCGCTGCAGGTGACTCGTGGGAGCCTTGGGGCAAGTTGTTGTGGGGATGCAGGGTTTAGGGTTTAGGGTGTAGGGTTTAGGGCATGACAGCACCTCGCCTCATTTTAAGATTAGAGAGAACTGGCTAGAAACTGGATCAGCTTCTGCTTCGGACTCGGCAACTTTCGAGCTTACGGCCCTTTCTTTCTCGGGACCCTAAACGCAAGGCCTCTTTGTACAGTAGCAGACCATCTCTCTCTCTCTCTCTCTCTGTCTCTCTCTCTCTCTCTCTCTGTATGCATTGGTCTGTATAGCTCTCTCTGTCTGGGAAGACACAGATACATAACAGAGAATCCACTGTGACGGGAAACCGCGACTGCGGAAAACCACGGGACGGTATGACCGGGTATGACCGGGTATGACCGGGTATGACCGGGTATGCCCGGGTATGACCGGGTATGACCGGGTATGACCGGGTATGACCGGGTATGACCGGGTATGACCGGGTATGACCGGGTATGCCCGGGTATGACCGGGTATGACCGGGTATGACCGGGTATGCCCGGGTATGACCGGGTATGACCGGGTATGCCCGGGTATGCCCGGGTATGCCCGGGTATGACCGGGTATGACCGGGTATGACCGGGTATGACCGGGTATGACCGGGTATGACCGGGTATGACCGGGTATGACCGGGTATGACCGGGTATGCCCGGGTATGCCCGGGTATGCCCGGGTATGCCCGGGTATGACCGGGTATGACCGGGTATGACCGGGTATGACCGGGTATGCCCGGGTATGCCCGGGTATGACCGGGTATGACCGGGTATGACCGGGTATGACCGGGTACCGGGTATGACCGGGTATGCCCGGGTATGACCGGGTATGCCCGGGTATGACCGGGTATGCCCGGGTATGACCGGGTATGCCCGGGTATGACCGGGTATGCCCGGGTATGACCGGGTATGCCCGGGTATGCCCGGGTATGACCGGGTATGACCGGGTATGACCGGGTATGACCGGGTATGACCGGGTATGCCCGGGTATGACCGAACGCGGCCGCAATGAGAGAATCCATGTACATACATACACAAGTATGTATGTCTAAGAACAACCCCACGAGCCATATATACACACATATATGTATATATATATATATGTGTACATACAAGTATGTACATATGTATAAGAACAACCCCAAAAGCTGCCCGCAAGAGGCCTTCAGCTGCCAGGGTGTCCAGCGCCTTCTGCGTAGCGGCCGAGATCGAGGCGGCGGCGACGGCCGCGGCAGAGGCGCGGTCCTAGGGTTTAGGGTTTAGGGTTTGTGGAAGCGTGCATCCCTAATATTTCCCACTCCTCACAAGAAAAAAGGGGCCCCAAGAAGGTACGCCAATTTCGGACACCATCATATCCCACTGATTGGAGTCTGGGGTTTATGAGCTTCGTAGGTTTTAGAGGTGCTATATAAGGTTTGCAGGTTTCGGGACCCTTCGAGTACCAGTGGGCCGAGAACCATAGGCTCTGGCATGTGAAGTAGTCCTATATACACTCCCACTCACCAATATTCCAAACCATGGGTTCTGACATAGTTTGTATAGGGTGTAGGCTTGTAGAGGTTGCTACCCCGAAGAGGTCAAAGGCAAGCCCAAATTCCAGAAACCCTAAACCCTAAACCCTAACCCCTCAGCCGTCCTCCCTAAACCCTGAACTGCTAAGCACATGTGCCTGGTGCACAGTTGCAGCCTCCATCCCACACACAGACTGAAGTGCCTGCAGCAACACGCAGTGTGTGGGCGCCACTAGCTTCAGGGTTTGGGGTTTAGGGTGTGGGGTCTAGGACTGATAAACCTCCTGCATGTCAGAATCGACAGAGTCATGTTTAGATTTCTAGAGTTTAGGGCTTAGGGTGAGGGGTTGCATCGGAAACTGTGTATAATATCTGCCCACGCTGCCTTCTTCGTAGCTGCCTCGACGCTGGCTTTTGCAACCTCTTTGGGTCTTGCGATTTCGGGGGTTAGGGTTCAGGGCTGCAAACCCTGTACGCCCCCCTGATTCCCAACACCCCCCTTCCCCCCTCCGCCGATGCCCTGAAGTTACAAGTCCCTGTTCTAAGTCCTCTCTTTGAAGGGTGATGGGAGAGACCCCGAGACCTTCTATGCACGTGTGGAATGTGCAGAAGAGTATACATACATATATACTTGCGTATGCGTACCTATGTGCAAACATCTCTAGTTGTTCGAAATACCTAAGCAGCCCTTATGTAACTTCTAAGGTTCCTTTTGCGAATCCCCCCTTGAGTCCCTCAGGAGGCAGGTAGCCAGGAGACCCTCATGCTACCGCGAAGGTTAGTGGTCATGTCAGGTTTTTTTTGAAAGGCCAGGCACCGAAATGAAAGCAGTGTGTCAATATGGTGATGCCTTTTTTGGGGTCCTTATGATTAGGCGGCCCCTATTTTTTAGGGTACCCAAAAAGGACCATCATTTAGAGAACTGGCCATATGGTGTTTGGAACATACTTCGCAGTAGCATGCAGAGCTATTTGCTGACCTTGACAGAACACATGCCCTTGCAGCCTGAAACACTTGAAACCCCAAGCCCTAAGCCCTAAGCCCTAAACCCTAAACCCCAAACCCTAAACCCCAAACACAAACCCGAAACCCTAAAAGGAAGTAATTAGGTGGCCTAGATCGGCTCTTGGAGCATCCTCAAGTTAATTCACTCGTCATTCCCTACGAAGCTCGAAGATATGGGTAGGGTTTAGTTTAGGGTTTAGGGTTTTTGGTTATGGGGGGTTGACAACAAGTTTTGGCCTTTCGGGACGAGGATACTATACAAGACACACCAAAAGGGCTCCAAGACACACCAACAGGGCTCCAGACTATAGAACAACCCCCATCAGACCCCAACGCAGCGCCGAAACCCCAAACCACATGTAAAGCCTATATAAACCCGATATCAACCCTACATCAACTCCATGTACCAACCCTAAACCCCGAACCTCGAACCCCATACGCTAAAACCCAAACCCCAAACCGCAAACCCAAACAACCAAACCCCAAACCCCAAACCCCAAACCCCAAACCCCAAACCCCAAACCCCCAAACCCCAAACCCTAAACCCTAAACCCCGATGTAGCAGACGAAGGCTCCGTCTGCGCCGCGCTGCGCTCCTCGGCCAGCCCACTGAGAGCTTTCCGGGCTGCGGCCTCGAAGCAAACGGTGGCTAAGGGCTTTTGGGGCCTGAGGCATGGTTTTCTCTCTTTTTTAACCTTAGGCATGGCTTTTTTCTCTTTTTTAAAAGTATGGTTGAGGGTGTGGGGTTTAAGTACAGTTTGAGTTGAGGGTTTCGGGTGCCCTGCCCGGCCCGTGTGCATATGCCGACCATGGTATCCCCCTCCCCCCCCAGCTTTCCCGTGGATCATGGCGGGTTTAGGGTTATCAGGGCTCCGCCCCTGAGGTTCGTGGTGGGCTTGGGGATTCCCCTCTCACTCCCGTGGTTCACGGTGAGGTTAAAGTTTAGGGTTCGGTTTCAGGGCTTCCTCACTCCCCCCCTGCGCTTCGTGGTGGACGCATCGCAGGTAAACCCAAAAAACTCTACACCTCCCGAGTGTAGCCACCACGCCGTACCAGGGGAGGTTGAGGTAGAAACCTCACATATACCTTCACGCATTCTCACCAGCAGCATCGGCAGGTCTAAATCGACTTCAGGGGGGAGAGGGGGCGGACGGGGGAAGGGGGGGGACGATGATCTAGGTTGGCCTGGACCGCTTGTGTCTGTTGTGTCTGCAGATCCCTATGCCCATGAGAAACCATGCGAGAGCTACTTAACTTTGAGCTTGCTGCGAAACTTTCCTGGAGCTTGACAAGCCTCCACTCCAGCCGATGCAATCTGCCGCGCTGTCGCTGGATCTTGGCCTCATGGGTCTGGCATTATGTTTTTGAAAGGATTGTTCGTCCTAGTCGTCCTAGCGAATGGGATTCTGGTCTTCATTCTGCTTCTCAGGGACTCCAATACCCCTTAATTCAGGAATAATCCTTAGAATATAAGAGGGCTCCTTATATGGCTTAAGGAATCTTCCTTCATCAAGGCGTATTGGAGTCTCTGGGTTCGCACCCGCTGACGATGATCATTGGCTTGAGTTGCTGCAGAAGCCGGGTGGCGGAAGCTCGCTCGCGGCTGCTCACCTTCAACCACGGCATCTGCCTCTGCCCTCTCCACCGACCTGCTCTGGTTGGGCTTCGAGTTCACATCGGCAGCTCTTCAAGTGAGGGTTTAGGGTTTAGGGTTTAGGGTTTAGGGTTTAGGGTTTAGGGTTTAGGGTTTAGGGTTTAGGGTTTAGGTCCTGTTGGGATAGCCTCTGCACATAACGGCCCGTGACATGCCGAAGAAGCCCCAACGCTTCTCCTCGGCCCTCGTCGTGCTATAGTAGTATTAAGGCACAGCGCTCGCAATTCTGACAAAGCTGGGCCACTTGAACTCTTGCCAGGAAGGCTGCGCGCTGTCCCGGCGCAGTAGGTGGTCCCAAATCCCGCGGATCTTGCCTGGGTTTGCGCTTGACTCCCTCTGAAACAATCTTTCACATGATCCTCTGCAACTAACCAAGTAAGGGGAAATACAAAATTATCTCAAGGGCCTACCTAGTTGCAGGAGCAAGTTCGGTCCAGCTCAGCCAGAGCTTTGTAGACATCAGGGATGCTTTGAAACACCAGTGTGGCTTCCAGCCCTCCCACCACAGCGGCCCAATCGATTGCAGCGCCGGACGTGTAGCAAAAATCTCCAGCATACCGCCGCTGCAAGCGTGCCAGGCGCATCATGTGCGACACGCTGACGTCGCGGGGTACGTCTGCGTAGCCGCCAAAACTCTTGGCCAGTGCGAAGGCGATGGTCTCGAAATCAGGCTGCGCAGCTGTGGCAAAGGCTGCTGCGTCCTTTGCCTGGGTAGCCCGGTAGACAATATGATCATTCGGGTACTCTTCTTTGGGGTTGGTTACTTTAGAAGGGAACCGGAACCTTGAACAAAAAAAGGGCAAACAGGTGCCACCGGACTACCAAGTTATGATACCCCAAACCCGAATCCCCAAACCCTCAACCCCAAAACTCCAAAGCCCAAACCCAAAACACCACAACCCCAAAACCCAAAAAACCCAAACCCCCCAAAAAAAACCCAAAAAACCCCCCAACCCCCCCCCCCCCCCCCCCCCCCCCCCCCCCCCCCAACAAAAAAAAACAAAACAAAAAAAAACCCAAAACAAACCCAAAAACCCCAAAACCCCCAAAACCCTGGAGCCCAAGTTGCAGATGCCAGCTGAGAGGGCGGGCGATGCACCAAGAGGCTGCTGTTGTAGCCTGGGATGGCACGTAAAACCATGCTTAAAACCCTCTGAAAACAACTCCTCAATATGATGCTCTTAAACCCAACAAGGGAAAGTATAAAGTGTCCCAAGGTCCTACCTAGCTAACCCTAAACCCTAACCCTAAAGCCAAAAGCCAAAAGCCTAAAGCCTAAAGCCTGAATGTCCCAAGGTCCTGCCGAGTGGCGGGCCTCAAGCACCTGGCTCGCCTCCGCACAGCCGGCCTCGAGCGCTGCCGCCGACCCAGAACCCTCCAAGGCTTCCTGCGGTTTAGGGTTTAGGGTTTAGGGTTTGGGGTTTGGGGTTTAGGGGTTTAAGGGTGTAAGGGCTTAAAGGTTTAAGGGAAACCTGCGTCAAAAAACGGCAACGGCATCTCTCGATTTCCATGTTCTCACGCCACGAATCGACACACCACTACTCACCACTACGGCAACAGGGGGTGGCACCCTAAACCCTAAACCCTAAACACTGAACCCTGAACCCTAAACCCTAAACCCTAAACCCGAAAACCTAAACCCTAAACCCTAAGCCCGAAACCCTAAACCGCAAAAGCGGATGGCACCTCGAACTCCGGGATGTGCTCCAGGGCAAGGGAGACTCCAGCTCTGGCGATGGCAGCCTGCACCGCTGATAATATAGTGGTCGGAAGAGTTCCTAGTAGTCTTCCCTTCTGGTCCCTACGAGTATATCATTCTCCTCAAATAACACCCAAAAACCCTTATTCTAATGGATTAGGCCCCTATTCCGCTGCTGTTCCCTCTGACTTTAGCTTCGCATGCTTAGGGTTTGGGGCTTGGTTGAAGGTTCCCAGGTGTCGGTGAGAAAAAAGTCAACTTGCCCATTAATGCTGATAAGGGATCCTAAGCCGAGCAACAGCAATGAGTGTACCAGGGGGACGCTGAAAAATCTTGCACAATTGCAACAACCAACTCAAAATGTGTTGTTACGCCTGTTGTGCCGACGACCCCGCACCTCCTTTCTTATCTTGGCTGGCGTCTTGTTGAGGCAGTGCAAGCTTTACATCATTGGACCAAGTCCTCAAAACATGTGTTTCAACACAATGCTTCAAAGGGATTTGCCGGGAAGCCCTGTGGAAACACTCCCCCCCCCCCCCCCCAAACAAAAAAAATAAAAATAAATGAAAAAACACCGGAAACTAGGCTGCCCAGTAACCTAGGCTTAAAAAGGGTGCCCTTTTTTGCTTAAAGGGGTTTAGAAGGGAACCTAAACCCCCCAAAAGTCCTAGGAAATCGGCCGGCAAGTGAGAAGGCAACCCTGAACCCGAAACCCTGAACCCAGGTTTTTGGGTTTAGGGGGCCCCGGCTTTGCCCCAGGCTTATCGACATGACACATGGCCTCGGCATCCAGTAACTCCTCCACGAAGTCTCCTGCACCATGACGAAGCAACACTCGGCAGATCTGAAGAGATGCCTTCCGCCACATAGGGTTTAGGGTTTAGGGTTTAGGGATTAATTAGGGATGAAAAAAATCGGGCCCTTTGGGGGGGGCCTATATCTTTCATACATTCCTCATCATTGAGGGCACCTAAAGGAGCCTACATCCGGGAAACTTCTAGATGTTGCTCCCTGCATTCCTTCAGTAGGAGAGCCCAGAAGTCAAGATGGCCTCCCTAAGAAGGGTTTAGCGTTTAGGGTTGACGGGACATCCCGAAATCACTTAATCAGGGAGGCATACCTGAATTGCATAAAGATGTCCCTCAAGCACGATTTAACTCGGGGCCCGATACCTTCGGATTGCTATTGAAAGCAATCCCAAAGTAGCCGTAATCACAATCAAAAACGAAAAACATGGCACAAAATCCAGGGATCCCAATGCCCAATGCCCTTCATTTAGGGTCCCTGAACCCTAAACTCTGAATCCTAAGCCCTAAACCTTAAACCCCAACACTGCCGGGTGTGGGGTGACAGGTACGCACAAATCGTACCAACCTAAACCCCCAGCAGCCTACTTTATGTCTCGGCTACCGGAGCTCAGAACCCAACAGCTGTCCAAGGTCTAGGTTTGGGTGCTTCAGTCGCCGGACTTCTCCCTATAGGTTTAGGGTTTAGGGTTTAGGGTTTAGGGTTTAGGGTTTAGGGTTTAGGGTTTAGGGTTTAGGGTTTAGGGTTTAATGTTAACCTCACATTTATAAATGGGGTGGTAATTGCAATATTCGCCGGGCCAGAGGGCCCCAGCCGAAGACTACTTTCCATTGCGGGAGGTTTCCGGGCTGAAATCTATAAACAAGTCTATATAGGGTGGTCCGGTGAGAATAATAATGGGGTGACAACTGCAATATTTTTCCGGCCAGGAATGCAAAATTTTACTGAAAATGGCTTAAGAGTTCCATTGCAGAGAAGACTTTTCAGCTGAACTGGCTTGAAAGAGCTCTGAGGCTCCCTTCAAGACAAAGCAGAGCAGACCCTGACAGCTGACCCCCCCCCCCCCCCCCCCAGACCCCCAGAAGACCCCCAGATTCCAATTGTTGACACCCCCTCTTTTTGTTGACCCCTCCAAATCCCGGGGACCAAAACAAGATGCGGGGGGGGGGGGGGGTTTATTAAAGCGACGTTAACATTAGGGTTTAGGGTTTAGGGTTTAGGGTTTAGGGTTTAGGGCGAGGGAGATATCCCAAGCTCGCCTCTGCGGGCGCAGATTCTGCCACGGCCTTGGCGAAAGCCCCAGCCGCGGCCTAGCCATGCTGCCGGTGAGGTGATGTCTTACTTAAAGGTTCATTTCGGTAGTTCTGGAGGTTCATTTGGGTATGTAAGTAGGGTTTTAAGTGTGGCCTTCTTTTGTGTGCACACGGTGCTTTCTTGTGACTGCGAATGCGACTTTGCTTGGAATTTGTCCGTACAAATAATACAACTTGCAAGGATTTGTGGTTTCTAGGCGGCCATCCAAAGTTTTGCTAAAGTCGAGTCAAAACTTAGGTTTTAAGCAGGTAAAGTGAGGGAAAGCCCGGCGTCAGTTGCACGACCGTTGCCTCCTAGTAGTTGTCGTAATAGTTGTCGGCGTCGTCGTCGTCGTAGTAGTAGTAGTAGAAGTAGTAGAAGTAGTAGTAGTAATAGTGGTAGTAGTAGTAGTAGTAGTCGTCGTCGTCGTAGTAGTCGTAGTAGTCGTAGTAGTCGTAGTAGTCGTAGTAGTAGTAGTAGTAGTAGTAGTAGTAGTAGTAGTAGTAGTAGTAGTAGTAGTAGTAGTAGTAGTAGTAGTAGTAGTAGTAGTAGTAGTAGTAGTAAGTAGTAGTAGTAGTAGTAGTAGTAGTAGTAGTAGTAGTAGTAGTAGTAGTAGTAGTAGTAGTAGTAGTAGTAGTAGTAGTAGTAGTAGTAGTAGTAGTCGTAGTAGTAGTAGTAGTAGTAGTAGTAGTAGTAGTCGTCGTAGTAGTAGTAGTAGTAGTGGTAGTAGTAGTAGTAGTAGTAGCAGTAGTAGTAGCAGTGGCAATAGCAGTAGCAGTAGCAGTGGCAGTATATAGGTAGTCAGTAGGAAGCTGGCAGTAAGTAGTAAGTCGCAAGTAAGTAGAAAGTAGTAGGTAGTAGGTAGTGTAGTAGGTAGTAGTTAGTATGTAGTAAGTGATAAGTAATAAGTAGTAAGTAGTAAGTCGCAAGTCGCACGTCGTAGAAGTAGTGGAAAAACAACAATAAGAAACAGCTGCCTAGAGTTTCTCAATGTTTATAGCTGAGTACGGATCATAGTATGCAGTAAACCCAACCAGCCTGAAGGCACGAGCAGCTCCCAAGCGAGACCGTCGCGCCCGCCCGCAGCAGTGCGGATACGGAGCCCAGATAGCCGGAGCATGCAGCCTGGGAGGAGGGCTTTTGTTTAGGGATTCGAATTTGGGGTCATGAGTCATGTGCATCGGGAGCCTTAAGCCGCATGTTGCTTGCAGGGCTTGCTAATGATTTCTCATGCGAAGTCAAGAAGAACGCCATTTCTTAAGCATCCGACTTGTTGGACAGGAAAGCTGCTGCAATGATCCAGTGATGTAGCTGTGACTGGTGATCCAAGCCTTGCCAAGCCGCATACCAGAGCGGAGAATAACCCAGGTCGTCCAGCGCATTGACCGGTGCCTGCACTTGAGCTGTGAGCTCGTTGATGACGGAGACTCTGCTGCTTTCCTCTCCCGGTCTAAGCAGAGCACAGTGCAGAGCAGTGCGCCCACCAACCTTACTTGTCCAGTTCAAGCTTGACCTTTGGTGTTCTCTAGATTCTCTGGTCGGAATACTGACTATACCAACCTATACTACCACCGTTGCCCTTCTCTCCCAACCCACCCAAAATCCAACAAATCCCTAAACCCCTAAACCCCTAAACCCCTAAACCCCTAAACCCCTAAACCCCTAAACCACAAACCCTAAACCCTAAACATACACGAAAACTTGCTCAGCTACTGAGCAACCGTTTGAAAGGTGGGAAGCATCAGCTCCTCCCCCGCCACCTCAGAGCTTCTCTGTTCCAAAAGACCGTAGGTTCTTAGGGTTTAGGGTTTAGGTTTTTTTTTTTTCTGCGGGGGGTGGGGGAGCGGGCTGGGGGGGCAAGGGGTTGGGGTTTAGTCTCTTTCTCTCTCTCTCATTTTTTTTTTTTGTGGGGGGGGGGGGGGGGGGGTTGAGGGTTAAGGGTTTTCTTCTGAGGGGTTCCATGACCATGATGGCACCCATTTCTAACTGCCTCGGGGGATGGGAAAACTCACCTAATGCTAGTAATTGCTTAAAAACACCCAATGAAAATAAACATATCCTTCCTTGTAAGGATAACATAGGGATTATTATTTCTTTATTCTTTTGGGGTTCTTAAGCAAATAGTAGAATATGCAGGAACAGCCACCAGCTCATCGCCAAAGTCCAGACATCTTCCAGAATCCGACCAGTGCTTGGCAAGACGTCCGTTGCTGAGCTGCTTCTTCAGGGCTTCCAGCTCCTCTTTCCTGGGCTGGGGTTTGGGGTTTGGGGTTTGGGGTTTGGGGTTTGGGGTTTGGGGTTTGGGGTTTGGGGTTTGGGGTTTGGGGTTTGGGGTTTGGGGTTTAGTGTGTAGGGTTTGAGAATGTGGAGGTTCTGAAATGAAGTTTCTGTGGATTATGTTGGGCTGTTGTGGGTTTAAAAGGCCCGTAGAACATTGACATGCCTTCAAGATCAACCCCAGCTTCGTCTGGCAGTCCACAATCACCTCACCCTGATCACTCCTTGCTGTCAGGTCCGCCTCAGCAGCCAGCAGCGCTTGCACCAGCACACAGTCGAGCTGTGCACTCGCAAGCATGAGAGCTGTCCAGCCTGAGCGGTCCAATAGCTCCACGCTTGCGTTGCAGGACCTCGCGACCCCCGCGAGCTTGGCGTCTCCGCGGGATGCGGCGATGTGCCACAGGGAAAACCCCGTCGACTGCTGCTGGGCGTCAGAGTCCCCGCCGGTCCTCAGTTTCTCCCTGACGGCGCAGGTGTCCCCGGAAGCCGCTGCGGACAGCATCCCTTCATTGAACTCCCGTGCATGCAGCGCCTGCAAGCGGACGCGTGCAGGGTGGAGCTCTTCTGCCCCGATTCCGGCCCTGAGGGAATCATCGATAAGCTGCTGCAGCTGCATGGAATCCTCGGCCATGGCAGCCTCATGGCAGGTTTAGGGTTTAGGGTTTAGGGTTTAGGGTTTAGGGTTTAGGGTTTAGGGTTTAGGGTTTCGGGTGTAGGGTTTAGGGTTTAGGGTTTAGGGTTTAGAGCCTCCGTGAGCTGCATGCGCAGATCTTCTTGATGTCGGCCGTGGCAGAGCCAGCTGTAACGGTCCTGAACACACAGTTCGTCAGTTCATAAGCCCCCCAAAAAGAGTGCACTTTCAGTTCTATAGGGGATTGTAGTATCCCCAAAAAAGTGTGAAGTGGAGTCATTCAGCTACTCCAATCTGAGAAGTCTATTCATAGTGGGTTTTGTCGTTTTAACCAGCTGGGTGAAGAGTACTTTTCAAAACTTACGATATCGAAGAACAAAACGCGAAAAACAATGACCCTCTTGTTAACTACTTGTAGTCAGCATGTTCGTTCTTAATATTCATGATGCGAATGACTTACTGTTGGTTAGCACGGAATGAGGGAAATAGGGCAAATAGGGCACTATAGAATCCCTTACAGGGTATATATATATATATACGGCCCTAATTCCCCCTTTCCCTACTAACCAACACTAACTCTAAACCCTAAACCCTGAGCCCTAAAATCGTGTGAGTCCTGTAGCGGACGATAGCGCTCCGGGCCAATGCCCAGGCGAACCGCGGCATCGATGTAGCCTTGGACCTCAGGGAATCAGGGGTTTAGGGTTTGGGGCCCTAAACCCTAAACCCTAAACCCTAAACCCTAAACGCCGGCCATGCAATGAAGGTGGCCGAGGCTTTTGGGAAGCTGTTTGGGTTGGCCAATGCGCAGTTCTTAGCTTCAGGCTCTTCCTTGACCACATGCCCGAAATCTTAATTAAGAGGCACCTTAGGGGGTTTAGTGTAGTACAGGGTTGGAGGAGGTCACTATAGTATACTTGTATAGGGGCCATAAGGGAGCGCTGCTTGTAATACTTCCAAACCCCTACAGTATACATTTCGGCTGGGTATGCCGAACAAGGGCCACAATCATGGTGAGAATTCAATACTTCCTAGGGCCTCTACAACAATCACGGGAGTAAACGAAATAACCAAGGCCATGATGAGGATTGTTATTGCCATGACAATGAAAACTGTTATCATAGCTGCAGTAATACCGCCACATGATATGCTTTGGGCGTTTTGTTGGTTGACCATGCTAGCCACTAGCCATTTATCTTGGTAGCCCAAGAACCATATACTGTCCCTAAACCCTAAACCCTAAACCCTAAACCCTAAACCCTAAACCCTAAACCCTAAACCCTAAACCCTAAACCCTAAACCCTAAACCCCAAGAAGGAAGGATGTTCACGCATGTTGGGCCTCTTCCGGCTCCTGCAGCTTCTCGGGATGCTGGAGGTGCTTCTCGAGCTCCTGCACTTGGGAGGTCCATTATATCTAGGGTTTAGGGGGTTCAGGGTTTAGGGTTTAGGGTTTAGGGTTTAGGGTTTAGGGTTTAGGGTCGAGGGTTATAACTGTACTAATAACTGTACTTATAACCATGAGCACTTGAGGGACTGATACGTGGGTTATAAGTACAATTAGACTTGAATTGGTTAGTAAGGACCATGCACCTCCAGCTCCTGTGTCAACCGTCAACCCTAAACCCTAAACCCGAAAGCCTAAACCCTAAACCCTAAACCTTGTTGATGCTTTGGCTTGGCTTCGTTGCTTACAAAGGAAACCTTGTGTTGGAAGGTGGAACAGGCTTAGGGTTTAGGGATGAGTTTTCAGGGTTTGTAGCTTCCTGTTTTTTCTTCTTTTTTTCAGGGCTTTTATGCGGTTTCTTGTTCAGGATTTATGAGTTGTTTTGTTCAGGGTTTATGGGGTGTATTTTTCAGGGTTTGGGGTTTAGGCTTCCGCAGGGTTTCAAGGGTGCACTTTTCAGGATTTATAGGGTTTACTTTTTCAGGGTTTAGGGTTTAGGGGTGACAAAATAAACCCTGTAAGGGTATTTCCCAAATAGGGGTCCCCCTTTTATACCCCAAATAGAAAAGAACCGTCTTAGATGGACACCCCTCAAAAAGGGGACCCCTTTTTTCGGAAACCCCCATAAACCCTGACAAAATGGACCCTAAACCCTAAACCCTAAACCCTAAACCCTAAACCCTAAACCCTAAACCCTAAACCCCAGGTCCTTCAAGGAACGGTCGAGCACAGGACCCAGAGCGCCGGAGCCGAGCATCGACTCCAGAGCCTCAGTGTGCCAGGGATTTGAGGCGAAGCCTTGGGGATGGATGAGGTTTAGGGTTTAGGGTTTAGGGTTTAGGGTTTAGGGTTTAGGGTTTAGGGTTTAGGGTTTAGGGTTGGAACCTAAACCTTTCACGGCAAGGGAATAAGGCCCTGCGGGGAATGAAATCTAATCCATTTTGCGGCACCCTCTTCCCAATGACATGTAAAAAAACATTGCCGGTGACGTTTGTTGTGTTTAGTCTGTTCTTGTACCGCCTCTGCAAGCTCATAAACGTGCCTTCCTCGTCTTCGTTCCTAAACCCTAAACCCTAAACCCCAAACCCTAAACCCCAAACCCTAAACCCTAAACCCTAAACCCTAAACCCTAAACCCCTAAACCCTAAACCCTCCCTACCGGGGAGTCGGGAACCTGGGGCTTCCTTCCCAACAAGAAAAAAGTTGAGTAATACATAGAATCATCGCCTTCCTTTACGAAGAGTCATCGTAGTTCAATATAAGGTTGGTTTAGGGTTTAGGGTTTAGGGTTTAGGGTTTAGGGTTTGGGGTTTAGGGTTTAGGGTTTAGGGTTTAGGGTTTAGGGTTTAGGGTTTAGGGTTTAGGGTTTAGGGTTTAAATGGGGGCTTTTTGCTGCTTGAGGTTCAGGGTGTTGGGGCTTGCGGGGTTTGGTTTTGGTTTCAGGGCTCCTGGGTTCCTGGTCTGAGCCTTAAGGAGGGGATGAGAGGCCAAGCCGTGAGGATGGATGGGAGTAGGGTTTAGGGTTTAGGGTTTCGGGTTTAGGGTTTACAGAGCAGCCTTGGAACCGCCCCTGCAGCAGAAGGCAGAGTTAATGAGGATGAGAGAAAGGACCCCACCCTCAAACCCCAAACCCCAAACCCTAAACCCTTTGAACCCTTGTGCCCTGCATGCTGCGCCCTTGAACCCTAAAAATTGAACCCTAAAGCCTAGCATCCTCAACCGCTTTCCATTTTTGGAAACACATCTTCGGGTTCCCGAGTCCCCCAAGGGCCACAGAGCCAGTCTAGGGCAGAGCACCAGGAAGTAGCGCCCGACCTCGTCGATGCGGCGTGCTAGGTAGGCGATCTCCTGTACAGGGAGCTGGGGTGTTTGTTTGTTTCACCCTCAAACCCTCAAACCCCAAAACCCTGCTTCCTGCACCCCAAAAAAACCCCAAAACAGTAAACAACCCTAAAAACCCTTAAAACCCAAAAACCCTAAAAACCCTCAAACCTTAAAAACCCGAAAACCCAAGCTCCTGCCCAGGTTTTGGCTGCCAACTTGTGTGCACAGACTCATATAACCTTGTGGCGCAATACAAAAAGGGGCAGGCAGTGCTTCCCCCCAAGCACTGAAAAAAACTGATAGGGCTTAGGGTTTAGGGCTTAGCGCTTGGGGTTTGGGGTTTAGGGCAATTAGATCTGATAAGCTGTCTTGGAACATTCTACAGAGGCCATTGCTGATCTTTGGTGGGAAATATTTCGCGTAGGGTATGTGGCAGGGGAGGAGAGGGGGTCCCAATAACCGAGGAAAACACGGGACACTTTTGCGCTTGTTGGGGTGCGACGGAACCTGACCCAGAAGGGTGTTTAAGGGGTTGAGGGGGAAGGACAAGCCGACACCCACCAAGATCGGAGACCCCACAAAGCCTCAGCACTCCACTCTCAGGCCTACACCCCTAAACCCTAAACCCTAAACCCTGAACCCTGAACCCTAAACCACTAAACCCTAAATCCTACAACCACTTCAGGCCTGCTTCACGTAGCGGTGTGTCATGAAGCAGGTGTCTGGTCGAGAGGCTTTGCCCGCCGGGCAACAGACCTTCAGGGACATGGGTAGTTATAGGTAGTTTTAGGGTTTAGGGTTTAGGGTTTAGGGGTGTAGGCCTGAGAGTGTAGAGGAATTTCGATTTTGACTTTTGAATTTCTTCACGTTCCAGGTGCTTGAGGATTTAGGGTTTTTAGGGCAGTAGGGTTTTAGATGCCATGCTTATACCCTAACTCCCGTGAATCTCCAAGTAGGGGAGTTAAAATCAGCTTTAGTGAGGCTGTTCGGGTTTTTGAGTTTAGAGGGCTTAAGGGTTAGGGTTCGGAATTTAAGGTCTTAGCTTTATGGGCTCTAGGGCGAGGAGGTTCGACTAGGCGACTATGGGCTTAGGGCTCCAGGGTGTAGGGCTTAGGGTTTCGGGTTTCGGGCTTAGGGCTTACTCAATCCTGGGGTTGGTGAGCTTGCTGGTCTGGTTCAGGGGCGGCCGGTCCGATGTTCAAGGTGCCGGAAAAGATCTGTAGAACTGTAGAAGTACACTGAACCCAAAACCCAAAACCCAAAACCCTAAACCCTAAACCCCGAACCCGAAACCCTGCCCAAATTCTGATCATCTTGCAGGCCACTCCCCTTCACACGCCGGCCTCATAAGCCTGAAACAGCTTTCGTAAGTTACCCTACATGGGTATTTCCCAAAATAGGAGTACCACTTTTTGTACCCCGGGACACCCCCCCCCCCCCACCCTAAAACAGGCACCGCCTATTGTCGGGAACCCCCCACAGAGTTCCTTGAAGTAGACCCCGAACAAAACCCTCGATATAACAAATAGCAAAGGTCTCTCCTCTCGTCCCCATCACCTCACCTTCCCACAGCCTAAATCCCCGCCCTTTGTGTGGGTTTAGGCTCTAGGGTTTAGAGTTTAGGGTCAGTGTAAACTTCTCCACCAACATTCTCCATGACTCAACTAAGTGCAGGCCCCTCCGTGGAAGGGCCGAATTTGTTTTGGTTATTAAACCCTAAACCCTAAACCCTAAACCCTATAAGACTTGCGGCTTCCGGTTTCGGGATCAAGGTGTAGTCCTGAGCCGAGCAAAGAGCAACGCGACAGGTTCTCAAACTCAAACCGTAGCAGCTACGCTCTGCACCATGCATGGGCGGTCAGAAGCAGCAGCCAACCCAGAGATGCTGGTGACCATGTTGCCCTCCGAGTCGGTTCAACTAGAAGATCCGTTGAAGCTGGGCATCCAGCTCCACCTTCATCACTCTTTGGCAGACTCCACCACCTCGACGGTGCAGGACGCGCCGTCAGGCCACGCTGCATTGCCAGCACGCCACACAGCTAGAAGGTGTTCCTTTGGACCACCCGGACCCACGCGCTCCCAGTAGGCCAGCCTGTCGAACTTGTCGGGGGCATCTCACAAGTCTCCGAGCCTGCTCTTCACAGCCTGCCAGCTCTCAAACAAAGAGGAGTAAATGCGCAGCTCGTGCTCGAGGTCGGGGTTGCCTTTGCCCAGTGCAGACGCTTGGTCCCAGAAGTCCGTGGACCACGCCGGGGGCGGTCCCCACATACTGATCAGGCCCATCTCGAGTGGTTGCGCTGCGAAAAGGCCCTCGCGATTGCGCGGAGACTCGCTCTTTGTGCAATAGGGGCAGTTGCTGTCAGTGTTTTTGGTGCCGATGGAAGTATCTTACCGCACTCGCAACGTTCAAAACGTTCAGTTCGTGCTTGTCGTCGGTGCTCTGCATTCCCAGCAAGAGCTTCTCTCACAGTCTCCCCTCGGCGCGCGGATCCCCAATCGATGAAGGCGCTGCCAACGTCTCCATTGAACAAACTGGGTGTGGCCTCTGGATCGATCAAGAAGTTCACATGTTTAGTGTCGGCAACGCGCAAGAATTCAACTGCTTCATGCAATCCACGACATTGAAGGCGAGCGCATACAGCAAGCGAGGTTCGGAGTTCCATCGAGTCTCAAGGACCTTGAGTGCTGGAACTCCCAAACGAGACACCTGAACACCAGACTGTCGTGCAAGCTGACGCTGGAGCTCTCTTCCAATGCAGCCCTGGGAGCTTCTGTCAAGGCCAGCGTCGGGCAAGGCCAGGGCTGCTTCATTTATGACATCAGCCGCCTCGTCGGGCGCAAGGCAAAAGGTTCGCAAGCCCGCCTCCTGAACTTTCAGGGCTGTCTCCATCTCGAAGACTTCCATAAACGCCATAGACCGCGAATGTGGAACCTTGAGCACAACCCTCGTCGGCGACTCAAGATCCCTGCCCGCTGGGCACAGAAATGCTGCTCCTCCGGCACCAGCACCCAGCTTTTCAGCCTCCACCACCGCACCATTGACCAGAAACTTGGCAGCTACTGCCGCAGGCGAGCTCTCATTTTCTTAGGAAAGTTTCTCAGAAGGCGGTAGGGAAAGGGGGCCCAAACTTCTGAAGTGCCCGCTCACACCGCACCGCGCCTGTGCACCGGTCCCCGACCCCCATGAATCCCCCATAGGCTCCTACACACAGGGGTTTAGGGTTTAGGGTCTGGGGTTTAGGGTTACTCCTAACCCCAAAACCCTCAAATGCTCGAGCTCTGAGCTCCTTGGCGTTCGCCAGGAATGACGGAGCTATTTGCTTGGACTATAGCTAGATAGTTCCAAGTACACGTACTCTCAAGGGGAACAACCCCCTAAACTCCCTAAACCCCCTAAACCCCCAAAACCCCCAAAACCCCCAAAACCCCCAAACCCACTAAACCCACTAAACCCACTAAACCCACTAAACCAACTAAACCCACTAAACCCACTAAACCCACTAAACCCACTAAACCCCTAAAGACGTAAACCCCTGAAGCTCTAAACCCCAAACTCCCAAAAAAACCGAAACCCTAAAAACCTAAACCCTAACACCCTGACCTAAACCCGAAACCCTAAACCCTAAACTCTAAACCCTCAACCCTAAACCCTGAACCTGGCCTGACTGCGGCCGCCTGGACCGGCCAAGCTCGCGATGTCAGGCTTCAGTGCGACGTCGGCGTCGTCCTGAATGGCGCCCGGGAGGTCGCTCCAGGGAGCAATAGAAGTTGGGTTTAGGGTTTAGGGTTTCGGGCTTAGGGTTTGGGGTTTAGGGTTTAGGGAGCATGAGAAACTGGGTTTGGGGTTTAGTTGTGGTTGGCTTTTACTTTCTAGGGTTTACGGTAGGGACCTCAGAGTTTTTTTTTGGGGGGGAGGAACTTGAGAGGTTTAGCAATTTGGGGTTCAGGGTTTAGTAGGGTCCGCAATTTGTCGGATCCGAGCCCAAGCTCAACACTTAACCAGCAAGTTCTCGGATGCGAGCCCAAGCTCAAGGTCCTCGCAGTCGTAGTCCTTCTGTGAGGACGATGCCGATTCGGCATTGATGTCGTGTCTTCTGTCGAAAGACCACGACGCATCCGGCGACTATGCAAGTAGGGTCTCGCGATTTGGAGGTTCAGTGTTTCAGCTTCTGGGTTTTGCGGTTGAGGATCTTTCTAGGGCTGTAGGGTTTCAGGCGTTCTGGAGTTGAGGGTTTCAGGGATTTAGGGCAATAGGGCTCTAGGGACTTAGGGCTTTAGGGCTTTAGGGCTTTAGGGCTTAGGGTTTAGGGGACTTGTGGAAGGGTTTTAGGGGGCCCAGATGATGAGACTGCTCTCTTGAGAACACCTGGGGTTTAGGGTTTAGGGTTTAGGGTTGAGGGTTTAGGGTTTAGGGCCAGTCGGGCTTCCTTCAGAACAGCAGGAGGCCCCGTGATCGTGCCACAGCAAGGATCTGACATGAAGCTCCAAGCCCAAACCTCGAAAGAGGCATCGCGCACACCTAAACCTAAGACCTTAGGGTTGAGGGTTGAGGGTTGAGGGTTTAAGGTTTAGGGTTTAGGGTTTAGGGTTTAGGGTTTAGGGTTACCCCCTCCAACGCACAAAGCAGCGAAACCGTAAACCCCAAAACCCCCGAAGACGACCAAATCCTGCATCCCGCATCAAAAAAAGTCTGACTATAATCACCACCTTCAACGAATCGAATGCATATAACTGTCTACAAGAACAATATGATTGTGGTATTCATAAAACCCTAAACCCTAAACCCTAAACCCTGAAAACGTCCCGGGTGAAGCTCCTCAGAGTCGTGCGGGGCAGGGACCAGACCTCACAGGGAAGCTTCTGAAGTCATAGGCTGAGGATGAAGAAATGGGGGGGGGGGGGGGGGTGTGGAGGTTTGGGGTTTAGGAGTTTCGGTTACAGGACTTCGAGTTCTCTACAAGCCTCGAAACACAGATGGTCATCGAAATTGCAACCTGGGGCCTCACTGATGCATCAACTTGATGCATCAACTTGCGCCTCGGACCTTATAAACTCGAAGCCCTGGACCCTGAAGGGGTTTAGGGTTTAGGGCAAGCGCTCCAGGTAAGACTGGCTGCAGGAACACCCATGCGTGGTGATGCAATTACTGTGGTTCTGGAGGTTGATCTAACTCATCTGACGACAGTGTCGGGTGCCCCAGCATGAAGGCCATGTGCGATAGCTAACAGAGACGCCCAAGGGCAACTACGTAGTAGACCTCAGCCTGGAAGCCGAAACCTGAAACCCCAAACCCTCAACCTTGGGATTTTCCCCCTTCTACGAACAGGCCTTTTTTTGGTTCAGGACTCTTGGTAGAAGGGGAACATCCCAACCTGAACCCCCAAGCTGTCACAAAGCCAAGGCCTTGAAACTCGGTGTTCGCCAACTCTCCATCGCCTTGGGGGGGGCGGGGAGAGAAAGCAGATGCGCACGTCACTAAAACCCTAAACCTGAAAACCCTAACTCTAAAACCCCACAGAACCCTGAATCTGAAACCAAAAAGCCCTCAAAAAACCCCAGGCCCTCACTTAAAACTACCCGCACTTAAAACTACCCGTGAACCTTCATGGGGTGTTGGGTTCTCGAAGGGGGGGGGGGGGTGCATCAAGGCTTTCCCCAACTGGTTCTGAGAAGGGAATGAGGGAATTAGGTGCCTTATATCCCCCCTGTATATACCCTTTAAAAGGATTATATCCCTAAACCCTAAACCCTAAACCCTAAACCACCCTAAACCCTAAACCCTAAACCCTAAACCTCCTTCTCTACTTTTCTCAGGCACCTGGGGTGCCTGTAGAGTATGCAGTAGGCCTCAGGGAGCCCCAACTCACTTCGCAATGAGGTTTGGGGCTTTTAGGGTTTAGGGTTTGGGGTTTCGGGTTTAGGGTTTAGGGCTTAGGGCTTGGGGTTTCGGGTTCTGGGGTAGGACCTTGTGCAGACCTGTGGCTCGGCTGCCGCGGGGTCCCGACCACGTGCGGAGGCCGCCGAATCGGTTTCTGGAAGCCTTAGATTGGGTTTTGGGCTTTGGGTGTGGGGTGTAGGGTGTAGGGTGTAGGGTTGAGGGTTTAGGGTTTAGGGTTTAGGGTTTAGGGTTTAGGGTTCAGTTTAGGGGGGTTAGGGGGTGGTTTAGGGTGGGTTTTGGGTTGTGGGTGTACTTGGGGGTTCATGGGTGGTTACAAGCAGGTTTATAAGTGTGGTAAATAACAAAAATATTATAACCTTACATATGACTACCCATGAACCTCCAAGTTGGGTTTAGGGTTGGTTCAGGGTGGGCTTTGTGCACTTGGCACCACACCATTGGATTCCTCGGATTGGTCAAAAACACCAAAAACGCCACAGAGTAAGTTGCCTGCACATCCACGGGACTTATATACTTGCAAGAAGCAACTAGGAGTGTAATTGGAAACGTCGCAACACCAATGTGGGGAGAAGCGTATCTAAGGACACCTACGAGTATATCAGCTTGGAAACCACAAATGCATCATGTGCATGATCAGCTTTGATACATACATACATATATATATATACATACCATGGCTAAGTTGTCAACATGTTCTTTGCTTCAACATGCTCTCAAATGTCGTGAGTTTACTTGCCTGAATTCTCGATCGTTCTTGAAGATAAGCCTGCACTGTTGACAACGCATGTTCGATGAACCAGGTGTGATCCAAGTTCCTTTGAACTAGCTTTGATATTGAACGCGATATCAAACTGCTTCCTAATTACTGATTTCAACATCCAACTCCACACTTTCAATGTCGAAGACATGCACATTAAGCGCAAACAGTTTCTGAGAATGCCACTCCGCTGGAAAAAAACACGTCCTAAGTGTGAGCAGCCTTGAAGATCCCGCACCGAAACCCCCTAAACCTTAAACCCTAAACCCTAAACCCTAAACCCTAAACCCTAAACCCTAAACCCTAAACCCTAAACCCTCATTTACGCAGACCTGTGGGCTGACACCTCAGGGAGTGGAGTCTTGGATCGGTCCAGCACTCGCTCCCGACAAAAAAAAGTGGGATGCAACGAGATTCAACTGGACCCAAGAGTAACCTAGCAATGAAAAGGGTTAGGGTTTAGGGTTTAGGGTTTAGGGTTTAGGGTTTAGGGTTTAGGGCCAATTTTTGGTTCAAAGGGGCGCATAAGAGGAACCTAAAACCCTGAGAAAAAAAAAGGAATAAGCGCCTACTCCGGGTCCTAGTTCAAGCTGTTTCAGCAGCATCTTGGCATTGCAAGCGCTGCGCCACGGTTTCCGTTGGGGAAGCACTTGACGCCGTGGTCTCCAGCCGTCGAAGTCCCACATCTGCAAAGACAAGGCTAGCAGCCAACCCCGAAAGTCAAGCCTTCAACAACAGCCGAGGGAGTCCCATCGATGCAGTCCACAAAGCCGCGTACCACCCCGCCCCCCCCCCCCCCCCCCCCCCCCGCGGCAAAATCTCTACTACTAGAAGCCCTGAATTCTTGGGGCTGCACCTTTGGGCGGAGGTACGGGGGAGATACAGCCAATACCCCCGAGTTAGGTATTGGGTTCCCTGTGACCCTAAACCTTAAACCCGAAACCCTAAACCCGAAACCCTAAACCCTATAAACCCTATGAACCCTATAAACCCTACAAACCCTACAAACCCTGTAAACCCTAAACCCTAAACCCTAAACGCCAAGGGGCGCTGGCCCGAGAGGAGCGAAGAGAACTTGAAGGGGCCCCGTCCGACGCTGTAGCTCCATTGTGGAGGCCTAGGAGCAGAGAAAATCTGAGCAGCGCTATTTCTAGCAGTCGCTTTAGGGTTCAGGGTTCAGGGTTTAGGGTTTACTCTTCCCAAACCCCTACTAAAAACAAGGACGGTCAACCCTCATAAAAGGAAGGGCGCGGAGCCCACATTTTTTGGGGCCGGGGGCCTTGGGCATTTTGACCGAATAACGCATGTTGGTTGCGGTTGGTTTCAGGGTTTAGGGTTTTAAGATGCTGGGGCTTAGGATTTTAGGGTTTAGCCCTTATAAGGTTATATCGGGGTTTTCGAGTTTAGGGTTCAGGGTATACGGTTCTTGGGAACCAGGGTTGTAGGGATGGCGGGTTGCCAAAAATCCCTAAAGCCCGTGTGCCCCCTCTCCTACTTGGAGCTTCATGGGTGGTTATAAGTAGGGTTGAGAGTATGGTAACTATACTTACAACCTTTTATAGGGACGTATAACCATCCCTTAACCCTAAACCATACTTATGACTACCCATGAACCTCCACGTAATCGCTCAACCGTGAACAGCGAAGCCTGAACTTGTTTTGCCGACTATACCTCTTATGATCCCCATCAGATTTGGTATGAACTGCCAAAAACAATTCTTCAAAATAGACCCTAAAAAAAGCCCAAAAGCCCAAAAGCCCAAAAGCCCAAAAGCCCAAAACCCTAAAAAAAACCCTGAGCCCTGAATCCCCAACTCCTATATCATATTTCAGGCAAGCTTCTCCGTTGCAGGTTTGCGCACTTCCATGGATCTCTTCTACGGGCCGCGACCCCAGCCTTGAGAACTCAATGCCTGAGTTTGGGGATTAGGGTTCAGGGTTCAGGCTTTAGGGTTTGGGGGAACCCCCAAACCCTAAACCCTAAACCCTAAACCCTAACCCCTAAACCCTAAACCCTAAACCCTAAACCCTTAGGGCTTAAGGCTTTAGGTTTTTGGGTTTTCGGGGGTTGGTTGATGGGAGGATCCCATCCCTCAAAGCTAGACAAGGTATGCTGTATGCCAAGCGGCCAAGCACAAAAAGAAAGGAAACCCTTTTCGCCACGGTTTAGGGTTTAGGGTTTAGGGTTTAGGGTTTAGGGTTTAGGGTTTAGGGTTTAGGGTTTAGGGTTTAGGGTTTAGGGTTTAGGGTTTAGGGTTTAGGGGCTTTGTCCGGCAAACCGGCCCTAGAACAAGGGGAAGCCTAAACCCTGAGCCTAAGCACCCAGGTTAGGAATCAACAAAGGGAACCCACACCCCGCTGAGCTCAAAAACAGCAAGAGCAGGGTAGTTCCATGGTCCCCTAATATGGGGATCCCTTATATACCCTTTACATATTAGGGGCCCAGACATCAGAACCCTTTAACGGAGATAAGGGACCAGATTTGGGCCCATGAAACTACCCTTAGAAGGGAAGGGATCAAAAGCCTTAATCGCCTCGTAAACCCAATGCCTTAACCCTGAACCCCATTCGTCCATGAACTTGAACACGCATGTGGCGCCGACCTGGTGTTTAAACCCTACGCCGAGCTGCAAGAGGCTTCATGGAGAGTTTTGGTGGGTTTCGGTCTAGTTCCAAAACACGCACTGACTGAACACGGGCTGGAGGAAGCTTGGCGCTTTATGCAGCCCAAGGGTTCGAATCTAAATCGGCCGGTTTTGGGCTTAAGAGTTCAGGGGGTCTATGAAGGTGCCATTTTTGTGCCTTGCTGCAGCATCTCCAAACAAAGCCGCGGCAAATAAGTGGAAGAGGCACGGGTCCTCCAAACCTTTCTAGCCTAAACGCGACAATCGTAGCAGGCAGGTGGACCCTCAGCGACTTTTGTGAGGCCAGAAGGCATCTTAGCCCTCTTGCCCCGTGGCACAGCTTGCTGGCGCCCAGAGGGGACGTGAGGTTCCTAAACCCTAAACCCTAAACCCTAAACTCTAAACCCTAAACCCTAACGTGAGCTCAGGGACTTCCCGGAGGTGCCCCGCCTGAAGGCTTTGGGGGGGTTCGGGCCGCCAGCTTTGGTGAACCGCGATCTACACCAATTCAGCAACTGGCTGCTCAGATCCCGGGTAGGGTTTAGGGTTTTAGGGTTTTAGGGTTTTAGGGTTTTAGGGTTTTAGGGTTTTAGGGTTTTAGGGTTTTAGGGTTTTAGGGTTTTAGGGTTTTAGGGTTTTAGGGTTTTAGGGTTTTAGGGTTGTAGGGATTTAGGGATTTAGGGATTTAGGGTTTATTAGGGTTTAAGAGTTTAGGGTTTACTGAGCCCGAAACCGGGGGGGAAAGTGTTTAGGGTGTCTAGGCTATTCTCCCCACCCTCGGTGTGGGGTTGTTAGATTCTAAACTCAACTGTTCTCCTTGCCTGGTCTACTCCTCGCCAAATTCCAGGGTGCCCAACCCCAGAGTGTCCCTGGAGGAGCGTCCTCCTGGAGTGCCCAACCTCAAAGTGTCCCCAGAGTGTCCCTGGAGTGCCCAACCCCAGAGTCTCTGCGCAGAGAGGGTGGGGATGTTCGTCTTGGGGGGGGGGGGGGGGGTGGGTGGGTGGGTTTGCGGGCCCTTTACAAGTTTACATGTCTAGAACTTCATAGGGTGACATCGGGATGAGGGGCCACAAAATCTCCAACACCTATTCCAGATCGACCTCGCGAAACGTAGGGCCCTAAACCTGCAGAAGTTTCTCAGAACTCGCGAACCAGTGGCAGTTCCCAGCCCTAAACCCTAAGAGTGGTTGTGGGTTCAGGGCTTGGGGCGTTTTATGGTTTGGGGCTTAGGGGTAAGGATTCGGGGCTTAGGGCTCAAAGCGCGGACCTTCGCAGCCAGTGCAAAGATCTAAGGCTCTAAGTTTGGACCTGCGCGTGGAGTTTCATTTGGGTGTCTATCAGTAAGATTCTAAGTGCCTTAGATAGTCCTTAGGATTTAGGGTTTAGGGTTTAGGGTTTAGGGTTTAGGGTTTCGGGACTAAACGGTTAAACGGGCTGCCATACTTGCCCTGCTTGTAACTACTGTACCCGTGAACCTCCAAATAGACTTGTCCAGCAGCTTTCGACGTGTCCCCGGCGGGAAAAAGCCGTTGCAAAAGGGCCTCTGTAGGTGAACCAAAAGCAAAGCCAAAAGACCTGTCCCAAGCCACCTGGGGGTTCACGATATTAGGGTTTAGGGTTTGGGGGTTAAGGTTTCTCAAGCACCACTATACCCTAAACCCTAAACCCTTAATCCTGTATAGGACCCATCAACAAACCGCGGGCACCGCCCGGCGGCCAAGCCCCTAACACCACAAGCAACATCCTGAAACCCCACCCGAATTCTCAACACAAAAACCCTAAAGCCATCCTGAACCCGAAAACTCCAAAACCCTACAACCCTGAAACCTTAAAGCCCTAGAGCCCTAAAACCCTCAAACCCTAAAACCCTAAACCAAATAAATCCCAAAAAAAACCTCAAACTTGCCATCTCCTGAACCCTAAAACCCTTAACCCTAAAACCCTAAAACCCTAAACCCTATACCCTGAAACCCTGAAACCCTGAAACCCTAAACCCCAAAACCCCAAAACCCCAAAACCCCAAAACCCTAAAACCCAAAACCCTAAAACCCTAAAAC